TTAGTAGGCTGATTGAATTGCTTGCAGTGAGCACTCTGAACGACCAGGTGTTAGGAAGGATGGTTGGGTCTGTCATCAGAACAAAGGAAGGAGAATTCTAAAAATAAAACTGAAGTTGATATATTCCGGACGGCGCACAATTAACCCCAAATTCTTGAGAGCATGACAAACGCACTTGCCAACACTACTTCAAGATGGTCCAACATAAATGAATAAGGGCAGTTTATCACCAAGCAATGACTTTCCTTTGGTTGAACATCACTGGCTTGTATTTGCACCTGGTTTGGGGATGATATTACTTGCAAGCCAAGCAAATGTATGATGCAGACACCTGACACTACTTTTTGTCCCTCTAATCGGACTAATCATGGATGCTGGAACCAGGCTGTCAGCCCTACTTTTCAGCCAATCATGATTATTCAAAACAGTAATCCACAATTTGTAGTAAGTGATGGGACGAAATTTCCAGTGTTTTCCTCCAGTTATTGGAATAAGCTCCTTCATTCGATGGCAATGCTGTACTCTGATCATAATTACAAGCAATAAACTGCTGTGCTAACCTTGGACAATTTGTTGAGTTAGATTTTCTGTATTCCTGAATTTCTGATGAGTTCTAGGACGAGTCCACCAACTTGTCAGGATGTCCTTCCACTTTCTCTCCCTCAGCTCTGCCACTCCTTAGGTTGCGACTGGCTCAATTCACACTCACACGGGTAGCCTGCACAGGTTGCTTGAATTGCATACTGCACTCTGCATCTTGTATGAAATCTGAAGGGGTAGGGCTAGGAACTTGTAGGTGATCAGAAAACTTAGAGGAATTCAAAGTATGAGCAGCAAACAGCTGTTTCTCTCAGTTTAACTTCTCTTCCTGTCCAGCCCTTATTCAACATAACTTAAACTCATATCTACAGCCAAAGCTGACTTTGAGTTGGATTACAGTTGAGTGAGAATATGGAGTGAATTAAATTATCTCTCTGTTCACTCTGGCCTCTTCCTTGCTTACACCGGAATTACACAGCAATAGCTCTTTTCATGTGACCATTGTCTGACCCCTACACTGCTTTCTGTGATATAATTTAAATTCAACTCAACATTTATTTCTACATTTCAGTGCATATTTGCAGAATTCAAGACAGGTCAGTACATAAATCAGCTATCTCCTTGTTATCATGCCGAGTACACCCATGTGCATATATCTCGCACTGCAGGTTTTGGAGTTATTCAGACCACTGTATACTGCATATTACTGTATTTGATTCAACACGCTTGTCTCATGCAATCAGAAAATAATACTTTCAAATTCTTGAATATTTTCAATTAACTAATGCCCAAAGTGCCATGTATGGTAAACTTTTATCTCCATGTTTCCTTCTATGTACTTTGTGAAATTTCCCAGCACAGATGTTAACCGTAACGTGGTCTACAAACCGGTGCCATTTTTAAAAATACTTCCAGTAATTCACATCACTGTAAAAAGAGAGCACTCTCGTATAAAATTTATCTGAACTTCAACAAAATATGAGTTTGTAGTCCCCGTCAGAACTTCAACAAAATATGAGTTTGTAGTCCCCCGTCAGACTTCATCCTTCAGGTTGACAAACCTCTCAAGTGTAACAACCGCAAGAATAAGGTCATCGCGGGCATACACCTTAGTCATGACTAGGTCAACACAACACTAAGAGGCCTTCAAAAACTGTACTCTCACATGCAAATTAGGACAAGGAATTTGCATACTTATTTGCAATTCATAGGATATTTTAATCCACACTAAATTCTACTTGTACATGTTACATGGTGTACATAGTGTATTTTGCTAAATGCCATTTAAGTACAAAAATGGTGGTTAACTGTCTTTTAGGGGCTGATAGTAAAATGTATGACGCCAAAGACAAAATATCAAACTGGATTTGTGGACTACTTTGACAGAAATACTTTAACAATCATGACATTTGAAGAGCAACTGTATCGCCTCTTGGCCTTTTTTACAAGTTGACATTTTACAGTGATGTGAGGAAAGAAGCTGTAGATTAATACCAAGCATCCATAATAATTAATCGTAACAGATAAAACTATCAATTTAAAGATGTTGTCATAAACTGAAATTTATGTTTTTCATGCAAAGTTTGCTTTTAAACTGGGTTCAGTTGTAATTTGAGACCGCTCTTTGTTTAGACTGCATTCTGCACACTAGCATGATCAAATCAGGTGGCAGGGCGGCAAAAGTCCGTCCACTAGTACATGTACTTTAGGGCTCTGACTTCTCAAAATTTCAAAAAAAAAATGGTTTGTAACAAAGTTCATTGCATATAATAAGTAACAAGCAATATACTCACTACCATTCGGGTAACTATATCAATGCAAATTGTAAGTAATGTATTAGAGAAAATATTCACAAATCTACATAGCATACTAAACTTGATAAGGTACTGCATGAAACCTTTCCAAAATAAGAGGCAATCTCTCTCATTTATGAAGTCTCTCTGTTAAAAAGATCTCTTTCTGTAAGAACTCCTGCAAGATCTCGTCATCCTTACTCTTTTACTGAGGTTTCAAAATGAAGATTAGGTAATGCTAGATTAGAACAAATTAACAATTAAGGGTCTTTCCATCTTGACTGAAAGGTGCTTAATGCTTCTTGCCTTCATATTTCTCTAAATAATCAAAACCTTCAATGAAAGTTTCAAATATGCCAAACCAACTTGACATGGCCAAGGCTATAAGATGAAGTGACAGAGATATACATTTAAAATGTAATTTTTTTGACCCCAGAATGCTACTGCCCAACTGAATTGGAATGAAACATCATCAAGCAAATTCCAATTATATTTCAAAGCAGACGATTGTGTGCCCTTTAAGAGTCAAGAACAAAATCGACCATGGCACTCGAACAAAAAAAAAAAGATTTAATCCATGTAGTTGCAGGGAAAGCACAGTTCCATTGTCATAGGTCCCTGGATCGTGCCCCTCATAGATAGGGGAGGATTGTAGGCAGGGAGGGGAAGGGACTTCATCTATCCCCTAGGCCCCAATCAACTTCTACCATAAGATACACATACAAGGACAATTTGTAATACTGGTCCTCATCACGACCTACTGATTTTTGATTTTCACAAGAATTTGAACTATTTTGGGGAGTTGCAACAGATGGTATGGGAACGCGTCCACGTCCATGAAGTTGATACACAAGAGATGTCAACTGTTAACAACCCCATATCCAAAGCCAGCCCTACCTCCTTTAGGCATTCCATATTTTTCTGACTTTTCAGACAGCCCTACTAACTCCTTAACATCATATAAAGTAACAGTTGTAACTTCTTCATTGCATGAAATGAAAATTGCTTACATGACAACTGATTGCATGGCTTGGATCCCCCACTGCCCCATTGACTGTCAAGGTGTATCCACTGTCATTACACCCTCCTTTTCTTTGTGCTAAGCAACTTGGTGCACCGCCCCTAATAGCATGCTTCCAGCCTTGTCATGCTTTAAAAGCCGAATGCTGATGAGCAGGGGTGGATCCAGGACATTGGTCCTAGCAACTCAATTGATTCACTAACCAAAACTGTTACCTGCTGTTGAGGAGAAACTAGAACAGAACATTGCAATGAGCCATTCATCCATTTCCATCTGAGCACTGTCACACTGACTGTACAATATATGCAGTTGAAGTTGTAACCAATTATGGTTGTATTCAGAATAATCGATGGACATTGTTTTGCTGCTGTTTTTCATTTCATTCCCTTTTTTCTTGCAATCTTTAATAATATGATCAGAAAGCGAATGTACACATATCAAACTAACTTTAAAGGTACAATCCATTATTTAGCGTTGTCCAAAAAGTAACAGACAAGTTATTGTTGAAAAGCAAACTTGGTTTGAAGATGGTTATGGGACTTAATTCTGTGAAATTATTCTTCCTGGCAGATTTGTTATTTTGAAGGAAACAATGCAAGAAGGCCATTTGTCTAAAGACATATTTTTGGCAAATTGTTATTTGAAGCGTGCGGAAGCATTGAAACAACACACGAGCGTGTGCAATTATTATAATTCGTTGATTCAGTGCATGACATCACAAAGCTCCATTTGACTATTTATGTGCTGTGTCTCAGATGCTGAAATCAAGCGTAATTCAAAAAATTACTCAGCAACATTTGATCTGAAATTGAAATCCTAGAACATTGTTTTTCTCAGAATAAACAGTGTGAAAAGGAGTGCAAAAAGGTTTTCACAAGTGGGGACATTTCATGCCTTTTCATACAAGTGAGATGTTTTCCGTCCTTGTGAAATGTGACTGTGAATGTAAAAGTGAATTCTTTTCACCAAATTTCCCTCTCCAAATTACAGTGTCCAAATGCAACATACTGAACAAACCCACGATGATGATGGCAATGGGCTACACACCATGCTGCAGGACTTCAAATAAAGTTCAGGCACAGAATACCGGTTTAAATGAAATTTAGCTATGGCTGCAGATCATTGTGGAGCAGCCTCATAAACTATGCAGCAAGGCACAATAAATAGGGCAATCTGCAATACTCTGCACTGCCAAGAAGTTGCCAAGGAGAGGTCAAATTTTCCTGGAAGTTTGCTTCACTAAAGTTTGCGAGAAAATTTTCAACATTTCAGGAAATTTTCATTTTGAAGGGAATTTTCACACCCTAAGAAAATTACTGAGGAAATAAAAAGTTTAAAAGAAATCTTCCGGAAAATACAAATTCTGAGGGGAAATTTAAAGATTTTCAACCATTTCAAAAAAAGAAACAAGAAAATCATACTTAAAAAAAAGTCACGTTGTGTTGAAATGGAACCTGTAGCCATTCGGGACCTACGCAGAATGGATTGGGAATTGAGTCAAGTTGATCTGATGCACTTCTTGAGAGCAAAGGATAGACTAAGCTTTAGAATCTTAGGCAAACACAGATTATTTTGTTAAGTTTATTTCCTCATAACTTTGAAACTGTTTCAAATGTTTTAGTCTGTTTTTATTTTAGCTTTCCACAAAAGACTACCATAAAATATGCATGTACGTGTAATAATCTACCTCTTCATTCTGCATACAAGGCACCAAACTGCACTAGTCTTTATGTAGTTTAGATTTTTGGAAGTGAGAGGTCATTTTTGGCAGGATATTCTCTTTCAGGTCAGGTAATGCTACGAAAATGTCAGAAAATTTCAGTGAAAGATCATGCCAATCCATTACAAAATCAATTTTAAAAGAACTGGAAGACCTGAAATTATTGTCAACAAAAGAATGACCACCTTGCCGCAATAGGCTGATAGACTGGGACATTCCATGCAATCGACAGAATTAACCCTAACCCCCCTAGGGTGTATGTAAATCATATTGGAGGAACTTGAAATCAGAGGAATTTTGACTGCTAGGATTAAGTAAAACTGCTACTCAAAATACACATACAAATATTTTTCCCTGACAATGAATCATTGGAAAAAATTCAATTTCCCCCTGTTCACTCGATGGATAAAATTTGTTGACCATTTCCCGCAAGTGGCATTTCCATGGCAACCCCTTGGTGGTGTACAAGTGTTGTGAATTGCCCTTATATCGCTGCATGGTTGCTGTTTGCCTATTGGGCATAAAGAAGAAAGCCACTGAATGAGGTGTACCAGTACTGATAGGTTGGATTACTAAATGCCTTACCATTGAAGGTCAAATGTACTGTGTCTCCTTGCTGCAAAACCAGCACCGCACTCCCGGATACCTGCTCATACTGACTTGAGCTACCACTATAGCCAGCGACAACCATGTCATTGTTTTTCCTGACATGAACCCGAATGTAGCTACTGGAAGAATCTTTCAGAACGGAAAACATGAACACGTAGGTGCCCGGCACATTACATGTGAATGTACCGGTTGCTAAATCAAAGCTGGTACCCGGCAGGAGCGTCTGGATCTGCTGGAAGGGCAAACGAGTATCGTCACTTGTAGAGATCTCCGAGGCAGTCGTCCTCGTCACGGTGAATGCTACCTGGTGGCCAGAATTTTCTGGAATATCTCCAGGCTCACCCTTTTGTCCTTTGACACCAGCTGCCCCAGGGTTTCCGGGAACTCCCCGCTCACCCACAGTGCCTATTGGACCCATCTCACCCTTATGACCTGGCTCACCTGGATCGCCCTTTGACCCGGCTGGGCCATACAGGCCTTGGCTGCCCGGCAGGCCTGGTATGCCGGGTGTTCCAGCAGGTCCCTGCTGGCAGCACACTGGACACACCTGAGACCCAGGACCATCACTGTATGTGGGAACCGGCCCAGCAATGTGTGCTTGGAGCTTGATAGAGTTGCCCAGAAGGATGGCAAATGAAAGGATTGTAGTGAGACACATTTGCATCTGCAAAATATAATAAAATATGTCCAGGGAACAAACAAAAAAAATAACTGGAGCAAAATAGAAAAAAAGGAAGGTCGATGGGGAGGCCATAGTCAAATGCAAATAGTTAAAAAACACTATCCGTCAGTACATGTAGGGCATACAACAAGATGTGATCGTTAGAATAGATTTCAATTTTCATTAGCTTCAATGTATCATCCCAAGTCCTAATCAATGTACTTCTTTTATTTCCAGAAAATTATTTCCAGAGAATAATTACCAGTTGATGTACCAACCACTACTGTGCCACCTAAGGATTGTCCAGTGGAACTTGTACTGAGTAGCCAGCCAGGNGGCCCGAAGTGGTTAAGGTATATAAGGACATTATGTAATACTGGTCCTCGTCAACACCAAGTGATTTTCTTTTTCACAAGAATTTTGTGCTTTTTGGGGGGGGGTTGCAACAGATGGTAGGGAACGGGTCACTGTCAATGAAGTACATACACAAGAGATGTCAACTGTTATCACCCCCATATCCGAAGCCAGCCCTACCTCCTTTAGGCATTTCATATTTTTTCTGACTTTTCAGACAGCTCTACTTACTCTAACATCACATAAAGTAACAGTTGTCACTCTTTCATTGTATGAAAATTTCTTGTATAACAACTGACTGTGTTGGCTTGGACCTCCCCCCTTAAGTAGGGGTGGATCCAGGGCCATGGTGGCAGCAACCCAAATTGAATCACACACCAAAACTGTCATCTGCTGTTGAGTAGAAACTAGAACAGAACATTGCAATGAGCCATTAAGTCCACTCCAATCTGTGCAGTGTCACACCTGTGTTTCTACGAATAGCTCTCTGGTCGCACGGACTGAATAACATGTTCAGTTGAGGTTGAACAAAATAAAGTGGTATTCAGGAAAATGAGGGGTCATTGTTTTGGAGATTTTTTGATTTTCTTCTTTTTTTAGTGGCAATCTTTTTAGGACCAGAATGCATATACATACAAAATTACCATTAAGTCTCTCAATGAAACTCAAAACATTGATTGTGAGCTCCCTAAAAATTTGTATGACTTTGGACAAACATTTGATTTCCATTTAAGGATTCATAAATATGTATGAACTTTTGAATGAAGGTAATGTATACATTATGCATATTCTTTTTGCTGATTCATAAATATAAAGGCAACAAGTTTAACCATATACTTCATGCATGGTCACTGTGTTTTTTTTTTTTTTTTTAGGGCGGATCCGGAAGCAACTGGACTGGAGCTAGGCCGCTGTTTGTTTATTCAGCAAGGAGAAAGCCACTGAATGTGACGTAATTCCCTCTATTACTATGCACCCTACCATACATTGTTAAATACACTGTGTCTCCTTGCTCCAGAACAACCACTGTGCTCCCAGACACCTGGTCATGATTACTTTGGTTAATGCTAGCACCAGAAATAATCGGGTCACCGTTCTTCCTCAGCTGGACATCGAGTTCATCGACAGAACGATCCTTGCACAGAGAAAACATGAACATGTAGATACCCGGCACATTACATGTGAACGTGCCTGTTGCCAGATCGAAGCTGGTACCCTCAAGAAGCAACCCAGTTTCCTCGAAGGCCAAACGTGTGCCGTAACTCGTAGAGGTATCCGAGTCGGTCATCCTCCTCGCGGTGAATGCCACCCGGTATGCGGTGTCATTTGGAGCCTCACCAGGCTCACCCTTCTGACCTTTGACACCCGCTTCCCCAGTTGGGCCCACAAAACCAGGAAGACCTCTCCGACCTGTCTCACCAGGCAGGCCCATTCCGTTATCCCCTTTGGGCCCGATTTTTCCGGGAATTCCCTGCTGACCCATCGGACCAACAGGACCAATCTCCCCTTTTTTACCAGGTTCACCTGCATCGCCCTTTGACCCCGATGGGCCATACAGGCCTGGGCTGCCCGGCAGGCCTGGTATGCCGGGTGTTCCAGCAGGTCCCTGCTGGCAGCACACTGGACACAGCTGAGACACAGGACCATCACTGTCTGTGGGAACCGGCCCAGTAATGTGTGCTTGGAGCTTGATAGAGTTGCCCAGAAGGATGGCAAATGAAAGGATTGTAGTGAGACACATTTGCATCTGTAAAATATAATAAAATATATCCAGGGAACAAACCAAAAAAATAACTGGAGCAAAATAGAAAAAAAGGAAGGTCAATGGGGGGCCATAGTTAAATTCTACATGTAAATGCAAATAGTTAAAAAACACTATCCGTCAGTACATGTAGGGCATACAACAAGATGTGATCGTCAGAATAGATTTCAATTTTCATTAGCTTCAATGTATCATCACAAGTCCTAATCAATGTACTTCTTTTATTTCCAGAAAATTATTTCCAGAGAATAATTACCAGTTGATGTACCAACCACTACTGTGCCACCTAAGGATTGTCCAGTGGAACTTGTACTGAGTAGCCAGCCACCAGGTAAGCTAGAGTCAGGCTCATTGCCTACTGCAGAGGAACGACCAACTCGACAGAAACATTCACCTCAGATGTTTGGGTACAGCAGCCTAGGAGAGCCTGACCCATGATATATGGACCCCCCAAGTTAACGTTCTCTATCCAGCTGTTGTTCAACCAAACTTTGCTCATCTTGGATGGCAGAATGCAGCGCAAACCCCAGTGAACCATTAGCTTCCTCCGTAGCAAAATGCCTTCCACCACCGTGACCACCCATTTTCAACCTTTCCACCACCATGTAACTGTGCTCCATATGCCCAATGGGGAACTCCACCACAGGCTATTCTATGCGGATAAAGATACAGGTGTGTTTCGATTAAATGCATTACTCACACTGAGAGTAAATCCTTGCCTTGATCTGGTGTGACAGAGCTATGGAGTGTAAGCACCAGAAGTAGATTGCAGTCCCTGCACGAGGCCCTAACGTTTGGCGTTCAGACACAATGCCAGTTTGAGTACACTTCACGAATGATCTGACATTTTAATTTGGGATGACCATGAGATGCTGTGGAATTTGCAACTCCATCAGCCTCAGTCTCCACACAGTCACTTTGACAAGACAAGAACCACTGAAGCTGAGCAAGTGAGCCAACAATCCCCCAAAATGGACAAGGGAAGAGCTGTTGTCACTAGAAAGTACAGATCTGAGATTTATTTTACTGTTGCAGAAACGAACGTGTAGGACAACATTTACCAGTATTTTCCAGGGGTGTGTGTGGAGAACCTTGAATTTTCCTATGGGTTTTGTGTGCATATCACCCCCTTTCAAATTTTGCATTGGCCCTACCTGTAAGAATAATGGATCAGACCAGAGGGTGCCACATCATGCATGTACAGGTGGAAAGGAAGTGAAATGGTTTATTATTCTGTAAGCAATCAAAAGACACGTGTACGGCACCACTGGTTAAAGTGACTCTCTGCAGCACAGCAAATATACGAGCTACATGTCATTCCCCCTTCCCAGGAAATGGTACAGTCCATCTGACCACAGCCCTCTGGACGGACCACTCCGATTATGCGCTGCCAAGTTTGTGGTTGAAACAATGAGGGAATGTGCAATTGTTGATATGACCTGCTACTCCCGTAATGGGTAAAAGGAGGCAAGGACTAGCCAAGCAATCATTGCAAGCTTTCAGGCTACTGTTGATGAGAACTGTATTTGTCCTCGCCACNCCTAACGGGGAACTCCACCACAGGCTATTCTATGCACATAAGGATACTGGTGTGTTTCGACTAAATGCATTACTCACACTGAGAGTAAATCCTTGCCTTGATCTGGTGTGACAGAGCTATGGAGTGTAAGCACCAGAAGTAGATTGCAGTCCATGCATGAGGCCCAAACATTTGGCATTCAGACACAATGCCAGTTAGAGTACACTTCATGAATGATCTGACATTTTAGATTGGGATGACCATGAGATACTGTTGAATTTGTAACTCCATCAGCCTCAGTCTCCACACAGTCACTTTAACAAGACAAGAACCACTGAAGCTGAGGAAGTGAGTTAACAATCCCCCAAAATGGACGAGGGAAGAGCTGTTTTCACTTGAAAGTACAGATCTGATATTTATTTCACTGTTGCAGAAACGAACGTTGAGGACAACATTTACCGGTATTTTCCACGGGTGTGCGTGGAGAAGCTTGAATTTTCCTATGGGTTTTGTGTGCATATCCCCCCCTTTCAACTTTTGCATTGGCCCTACCTGTAAGAATAATGGATCAGACCAGAAGGTGCCACATCATGCATGTACAGGTGGAAAGGAAGTGAAATGGTTCATTATTCTATAAGCAATCAAAAGACACGTGTACAGCACCACTGGTTAAAGTGACTCTCTGCAGCACAGCAAATATACGAGCTACATGTCATTCCCCCTTCCCAGGAAATGGTACAGTCCATCTGACCACAGCCCTCTGGACCAACCACTCCGATTATGCGCTGCCAAGTTTGCGGTCCAAACAATGAGGGAATGTGCAATCGTTGACATGACCTGCTACTCCCGTAATGGGTGAAAGGAGGCAAGGACTAGCAAAGCAATCATTGCAAGCTTTCAGGCTCTTGTTGATGAGAACTGCATTAACGGAGCAGCAAAGCACAAAATTAACTTTTGTAACCATTCAGTGGGCAAAGGTTGGTGTATTTGATATCCGGCTCTTGATACACTGAACCAAGTGTTGGATGTTCAGTTCTTGGCGGCTTGTCCTTTGGAGAAATTCCATCTTTATGGGGATGAGTTTTCGTGAAATCTGGATATGAAGGGGAACATTCTTATTTCTAGTCAATTTATTTTAAATTTGTTAGAATTATTTGAATTATCACATATTTACGATCTTTTTCAATTTGTACATGTATTTGTCCTCGCCACTCAGAAGCCNTCAGAAGCCTGACTAGAACCTAGCCAAAGTGCTCCAATCAGGGATCGCCACTCAGAAGCCTGACTAGAACCTAGCCAAAGTGCTAGACTATAAAATACGGGCTCTGGCAGACAAAGACAGAGAGAGAGATACACATACCTAGAGAGATTTTGGAAAGCAATTCTATTTTACAGGGGCTTTGAGAAGTCGTTGACTCACTGACTTCTCATCATTTCAACCCGTGGAAGCGACTTGTCCGTAAAGTGACACTTGTATAAAAAGTTTGTCCAGACCAAATGAATTGCAGAGAAAAATTTTGTTCCCAAAGAGAGAGTTTGTGAACTGAATCCAGTTCCAGATTGAGGGATCATCAAAGCCCTGTATTTGCAACGGTCATCACGCCCTCGCCATTTAGTCTCAAGTCTGGTTATTCCTATTGGACGGGAGCATTGCCCCGTTGGAGCTCATTTTTACAACGTCAAGGACTGAACTGTTTTGTCACCATCTGTGGAGACCAGCTTTCTTCACCGTAGTGCCCGCCAAGATCTTGCCCGTAAGATCTTCCTGTTTACGTAAGATCTTTTCTTCATTCTTTACCCTTATCACTGTAAACTACCAGCAGTTCCAATCAGCAATTTTCTTTGTTATTCTTATTTTTGACAAGTTAATTGTAACATTCTCATTAAATCCCAATTGTTTGTTTGTTCTTTATATCACTGCGATTTTCTTTGTTTTCTTTGTTGCACTGGAGAAATTCAAGCTTTAGAATAATTACCATTAGTAAATAGTTTGGCGTTTTTCAGATCGTAACACATCTTGGTATTTTCTGTTAAAATAACATCTTGCTTATTAAAGACACTCACCTTGATGCGTTTTAGTCAAGCATACAAGTTCCCGGTGTCTGAATTTAATCGGTGTAGGCTGAAAATAATACCAAAGAAAGCACAAGAAATGTTTTGGTTTGTCAAATAAACAATCAGATGTGATCTTTCTAGTTGTACATTTAAAATAAACACCAAAAAAAAATATACAAAGCAAAACTTCATTCCACAATCTGCAAAGGAGACTGCATAAGGGCCAAGAGTTACAAAGTTAAGAGGAAGATCAGAAAGACGGACCACTCATGTCAGAGGAAGCAGAAACAGCTCTCATTTCAAATTCTGACATAACCCAAATTAAGCCCCTTCAACAATTTTTGCAATATAGCGGCAGTGCATGTTTTCAGGAGCTGAGCCTTTGACAGTTTTTAAAGTAACTTGTTGTGGTCATTTTTAAACCAATGTTGTTAAAATCAAACATACTTTTTCTGGTACAGGTCAGCAAGAAATGTATACTTTTCCACTGCGTTGTTCAGTGCATGCAGGCCGACATGCGTGCAGCTTTGAACTTCAAATGACGGTACAATAACAATAAAAGGACGTCTGATTGAGTTCAAACTTTACATTTGTAATGATAAGGAATGTGTTTACCGTACATGTGTACCAAGTTTCACAAAGTTTAGTGTGGTACAGCCAAGTTGGGAGGGGGAAGCTGTGAGGTGGGTCAAAAATAACACAGCCTTTTGAGCCGGCTTATGGGGAAAAATGACATAACGCGTAATTCAGTTGCGAAGACCAAAGACTTTGCACAAAACAAATCTAGTCTTGTTTGAGTGTTGCAAGCTGCTGTGCTCGGTGATGAATTTGCTTGGTCATCATTAGCGGGAAGTGATGGTGTAAACGACATGTAACAACCCCCTAAGTCAGTTAAGATGGTGAAATAGGGGTGCTTTCCGTACAAAAAAAATTTGAATTAGAATTTGAGCAGTCCATTTCCGCCACTTTGGACATCAAACACAGAAATTTGGAAGAAGTTTATAACCAATGAACTTCCTGTGTGCACAATTAAAAAGTAATTAAAAACAACTTTATTGTCAGCATCTAAGAACTTTATATAGCGAGGTCAAAAGGAATGTGGCGCAGTGCCAATGATGACGGAATAATCAAACCAAGACATGAACATACAGGTAACAAATAACTTAAGATTAAAATGCAGCAGTCCTAATCAAAGTGTGTTTGTTCAGCGCTGCTCTGCCTACTTTTCACCAATATAGAGAGCATTTCTATGTTTCAAAAGTCTAAAACTGTGTGATTGCAAAACCTTCAGAAGTGCCAGGCTGTATGACAATCCTGTGACATGTGATCAAACAATGGTGGTTCTATCAACAACATTGAACGCCTTGTCAATGACTAAAAACCGGACAGTTGCGTGAGCAAAACTGCTCAAATGCATTTGCTTTAAAGAAACTTCTAATGAATTTCAGTGAGAAAAAATACATAGAAAATGCCCAATGTTTTAGTAGCAGTCTGCGTAATATCGGCCTGCCTGTCATGGCTTGATAAAGATACGTTTAAAAAAAGGACTGCGAAGAACTTTGTCCATTTTCCCTGGAACTTCAAATTGAAGTCTCAAGACTGAAAGAACAAGGAAAAAAGGAAACATGACAAAGAAAGTTTGGGATAGGACTTCAGCACACCACTTTTCGGAGGACTTCAACAATCACGGATCATAATTAGTTTCAGAATGTCTCTAATTAAAGTTAACAGATTTGTTTCTAAAATTCACTCAAGCAATTGCCAAGCCTTACATGTTTCACCACCACAGAGACAGGTCTTATAAAGTGTACTCGCTTCAACTCTTGACTGAAGTTATCCGAGAGAATTAACTTTGAAGGTCTTGAGGGGCTCACTGAAGGACTGTATACATTAAAAGAACAATTTCTTTGTCTTTGTATTGATAAACACTCACCCGTATTCTCTTACTTGCAATCTGCTCTCTCACGATGCCGTCTTCATCTGCAGCTTAAGATGATCGGTGGTCATTCTGAGGAGCGGAGCGGCCACTCGTGCCTTTAAACTGGCCAGCCATTTCCTGAGCAGCGACTGCTGAACCTGGCCTGGTTTCTGATTGGCCATGGCACGCTGTCACTCACAGACATTTCACCAACTCTCCTCGTATTGGTCGAGTTGTATTGGTGGACATGAGCTGCTTGTTACTTGTGTCTACAAACATAAAGATGAAACACACACACCTGTCAATTAGGTAGGCGTGTTCATCTCATACCCCAATTAACTTGTCCCTATTAAACTCTTACCCAAATCACTTGTGCAACAGTAAATTAAAATGAAAGACTTTTTCTCATGTTTGTTGGGTGGAAGTAACATTTAATTTGATATGTTGACACAAACTTTGGGCTAAAGGCTCAGAGGAAGCAAGAATCATTGACAGTTAAGGGTGGGATCACAACCAAAACTTCTGGGGCCAGTGTACTGGGAGCCCCTAAATTGCTGAAGTTTCTTTCTAAGTAACGTTTAACAGCCTTTCTGAGGAGTGAGGCTGGATCTGGGGGGCTTTAACACCCCCGTTTTACACAGAAACACAACGCATCACTGTACCATTTTTGGAGCCAACCCCAGACCAGAAACAGCCAACTTTCTTGGGCTGCTGCAGGTTAACCTAGAGGCAGGAAAGTTGCCTCTTGCCCGAGTCCCCTCGCACCCAACATGCAACGACTGATTCTATCTGTATATTTTAGGGGACAGAAGTAAGTTCCTGTTATTTGTGACAGGCATTCCCATCAATCATGGTGGAATTCTTATTCTTCTTTGAACAGCTTAACTTGTAGTCGAGTCAACCTGCATGTGGGTACATCAACTCTAGTCCCAGTCACCTCGTACCCACCCTCAACATGCAATGGCTGATTCAATCATGACAGTACATCTGTTTCCCAGTGACTGAAGTTCCTGTGATTTTTCCGGCCAAGTAACTCTGTGCTGCATGTTAGATGATCTCCAGTCACGTCCACAGTCATGATTTTTCCCGAGTGAATTTTCTGTTCAGAAAGAAAATAATAACTTGCTTAGAAGGCAAGGGATTGTGTAAATGAAAGCTAGAAAAAGCATCAATTTCCACGTAGCAGCATTTAGTAAAAGTGTCTTCCAAATTCTGCATGATATCAAATTCTTTCACTGCGAGATACTGCTTTGAAGTGTATGTGTACATAATTATGCTCCTACAGTCAACCCACAGCCATAGTTGAATAACCTTTGAAGTGTACCTGCAATGAATTTTTCTTAGACCTAGTTTTTCTGCAACTTTTTTTTTGCTCTTCTGCAATGGATGAAAACTGTTTTACATTCCAATTTGGTTAAATGCATTGAAAAGGGAACTTTTTCAAACACTTGAAATAACCCACAAGTGCACTTGGGTGGGACTTGAACCCACCACTTCCTGCCGAGGGTTCGAGTCCCACCTGAGTATGCTTGCGTTTTGTTCACAAGCTTTCGGGCAGGGTAAATAAAAAAAAATTTCCAAAATGAAATTAACATCTCCCTAATGCAAATCCACCCTTAGATATTCGAATACCTGTGCTTTCCTGGACAACTGAGGGCGCTGTTGCTGTGATGTCATCCAGGGATGGCATAGTTCTTCACATAGGTTAACTGAATCGCAAAAGTGCATTTTGAAGGTTTACAAGTAATGCATTTCACACAAATTGATTGCAGCTACCCAGGTAACAACTTAGGTACAATGCTGTAAAAATCCTTTACAGGTACCTACATGTATGCCACCTTCACACTGCATCACACTCAGCAACAACACTTAAAGTTAGAAAGAAATTCAAAGCAAGAATGATTTACTAGGAACCATACCCATTCATACAAATTCCAACACCATATGGTAAACGGTGCCCAAAAACTGTTTATTTTGGGTATGTCTGAGCAGTTTAGGGGTACAGTACCCCAGTGCCAAAAAATTCACACACTTCACTGGTGTTCAATTCTGTGTGGTTAGGGAAGGCTAGGGTTAAAGCACAAGCAGTTTAGGGGTACAGTAACCAGTCATGCCAGTGCCACAAATTCACACACTTCACTGGTGTTCAATTCTGTGTGGTTAGGGAAGGCTAGGGTTAAAGCACAAGCAGTTTAGGGGTACAGTAACCAGTCATGCCAGTGCCACAAATTCACACACTTCACTGGTGTTCAATGATGAGCAAATGACTGGAGTGGTTATCACCGAGTATCAGCCGTTGAAGATTAATACTCTGAGCCAAATTGTTTCACCAACATGGAACCTAAGTTTATTTCGCAACGGGCAAACAGAACTCTTTATGAAAGTGCCAGGGTCAACCCGTACCACAGTCAACTCTTCATCGAGTTCCCTTTGTACCCCAACTTCATAATCCAAAGTGAATTGTTCCTCACATCGGTCGGGTGGGAGTTACTTTCATTTGATATGTTGACACACACTTTGAGTCGGTCAACCTAAGTACAGTCAAGCTGTAGCCAGGCTGGTCAACTCTTGCCCGGGTCCCCTCCTGCCCACCTTAAATATACAATTCTACCACAACTGTATGTTTTCAGGCGACAGAGGTCCCTTGGGCCGCCAACCTTGAGAAAGAGCTGAGAGTGAGAATTGGTGACAGGGCATGGGAGCACGAAGCCCCTATGGCGTGAAGTTTAGGGCCCACTTAAGGATCCCAAAATCTTCGGACTCTAGATGCACCATGCAGTTGAGTTTAAAATCATCATTATTCTTGGCTAAAAAATTAAACTTGGGCCATATTCCTCCTGTTTCTAAAATATACTAAAATTGCCCAAAATTTTCAAAGCCCATGTTGAGTGATTTCGTATACTGTCATTAATGTTCAGAAATTTTCAAC